GAAAAAAAATTCATTACAGTTCTCATAAGGAACTCTTTGACATCTAAACAAGGACATATACTAAGGGTCAAGTAATGATCAGTGTCTCCTCAGCGATGAGTCGGAAGGTCTCAAAAAAATTATTGATCCGAGATGGGCATATTTCAGAGAAGTTGGGCCGATTTGATATCATACTCCTTTAAAGCGATGGATCCAATAAACGTGTTCAGGTCATCATGCCTTATAGGTATTTATTTATTTATTTATTTTTTTTTTGTGAAAAAAGTTGGGGTGTTTGGTATATTGCATGGGCATGAAAGAGAAAATTGGGCCGTTTTGATATCATTTCCTTTTATATGATGAATCCAAACGGTACTGCCATCATATTTTTTGGGTGCCTGGTTTTTTTTTGTTTTTGGTAATTAGTGACATTTTTTGGATTGGGCCGAAATTTTGTACAAAAATCATATTTTTGTTTTTTTGGAATGAATTTTACAGAAGAATCTAACAGCATGGGAAAACGTATGGCACGTACGTTGCTTCTGACGTGAACCTGAAGTAATAGTTCCTTATCGCAAAATTCTGAGCATTCACACATGGTTCCTTTTAATACATGATAAAATATTTGATGACCTAGGTATAATTTTAAACTTTAGTCTTGATTTTGTAAATTATTTTCCGTTTCAGAAAATATTTCGACAGTATCTGTCCTTACTTGTCAAATTTGAAGGGTTTGTCTTTTGTGTCATGCATTGAAATAAAAGGTTGGCTCGTATTGCAGGCTTCAAGGCAATTATACGAAAAATGTATTTAATTTTTCCATTTTTTTTGTGAAACATCCTTAACCCATAAAAATTTGCGTATGTTTAACTTTTAGACGATCATGCGTAATTAGTTAACATTACCACAAGTACATGCCGCGAAACAGCTTTTTGATGGAAAAACTCTAAGACAGTGTTTTTGTTTAGTTTTCGATCTCGCGCGCGCGAGAAATCACGCGTGATTTCTATGTGTTTGATTTGTAAACTGAGTGATGTGTTTGCTAGACTAACAAAAAAAATGTCCGACATTCTATATTGTAAATACACACGAGGTTTTCAAGTGACTTAGAGTTTTACTGAATATACGATCCACCAGATCAATATCTGAATCGATACAAAGAACTCATTTAATATATTTATTACGGGTAATGTGATATAGCCGGGTAATGTCGGAAGTTGGTGACATTACCCGGATAATGTCTGCATGACCCGGAAGGAGAAACTGGGTGTTGCCGACATTATCGAGACCGCTCTGGGTAATGTCTAAAAGTAGATTAAAAATACATCTTTTTGGTGTTAAATATACATATAATTGGCCCACCTTTCACGCAGTCTCACCTAACTCTTCAGCTTTTTTCTCCGCCGCGCCGCGTCAACGCTTTGCCAAAAATACGTAACAATAGATATCACCTGGAGCATGACAAAAAAGGAAGTTCCGACATTACCCAAGAGCCGTTTGGTAATGTCAGAGCCGGATTAAGGGGGTGGCCACATGGGCCGCGGCCCATGGCAGCAAATTTAGGGGGGCGGCCAATAGTGTAATTGTTTTAAAGGTATACAAAAAAAACGGATTTAGAAAAAAAATTACAAACGAGATAAGGTGACAAAATTTCTCATTTGCTGAGAGTGCAGAAAGTTATAATTTTGTAGTCTTTCAGTGATACAAGAGATAGCACCTATAATTAGTCGAGTCAAGAGAGAAACCAAACACGCCATTTGGCCTGGAACGGCGCGACTTAGAGAGGAATGATGACTAGGACTTGCGATGAGAAGGAGAAGCTCTCGGCGCGGCCAGTCGGCATGTAACACATATTAGCGCCTGCAAGACTGCATGAATACTTCACGCATTGCGTCAAACACAGTGAGGTTAGCAGCGGTCGACGTGAAGCGCACAGCGCCTACAAGACTGTCGGAATACTTCACGCATTGCGCCAAGCACAGTGCGGTCTGCGCGGCGCGGCGGCGGAAGTTAAAATCGTTAAACCACATTTATGTTCGTTCTCTCATAATTTTTTCGTCCATTTCTTATGAATGGAAGGCCTTGTCCACACAGAGATAGGTTTACGAAACTTAACTTTCGCGCAAAATTCTGTGAACTTTTGCTAGTGGTGTTGGCAGGGCTTTCCCAAAAAATGTGTCCAACACGAGTAAACGCGTCTTAGCACCCCCCCTAGTGGAAGTGAACCTCATGCGGCGGGAGGTCTGCAGGTGGTTAACCACCCGCGGCGGGGACTAACCTCCTGCAACCTCGTGCGAACCTCAAGCAACCCCCCGTCGCATGGGGTAGACACCCGGTTCCAGGAAAAAACCGAGTAACCTCCCGCGAACCTCCTGCAGACCTCTCGCAAGCCTTAGTGAGCTGCATGGGGTTGCAGGCCCTTGCTTGAGGTGATTAAGGCTTGCGAGAGGTCTGCAGGAAGTTCGCAGGAGGTTCGCGGGAGGTTACTCGGTTTTTTCCTGGAACCGGGTGTCTACCCCATGCGACGAGGGGTTGCTTGAGGTTCGCACGAGGTTGCAGGAGGTTAGTCCCCGTCGCGGGTGGTTAACCTCCTGCAGACCTCCCGCCGCATGAGGTTCACTTCCACTTGGCCTCCTCCTCCGGCACGTTCACTTGATGGTTTTTATTGATGTTTCAAAACGAATGAGAAGGGGGCGGCAAAATACAGGCGGCCCATGGGGGGGGGCAAGTAGGTAGATCCGGCCCTGGGTAATGTCATTTTTTTTGTACATTAATCACCGTTTCCTTGGGTTATGTCGACATTACCCAGGAGGACTAGTTAATGACGACATTACCCGGCTGTATTACATCACCCGTAACATATCCATGCAATGGACCTTCCATTCTCGATTGCTTTCAGAACTATCATCTACGTCACTCCTTACGTCGATCGTGTTATTTTTAAATATGATACGCATTGGTATTGAATAAGTTTCCGTACTTCCGCAAAAGACGAGTGTTTTCAGATACTTCAGTGTCAAATATCAGCTCTCAACTGCAGCATTTTCAAGGGCTTGAGTGTTTGAGTTCTTATTGTTCGATGTAGTCAAGCGTTTCAAACGACAAGTTATTTTCTGTATTAGATCCATTGCACGTAATTAGTTTAACCGTGGAAACTCTTCTGGTCAAGAGCGCGGACGCTGGTGATTATCTCCAACAGAGGTGATTTTTCTCTATACCCTCCATTGTTCAGGTGAAACGCAGAATTCGAGAAATGTTTTGATCGTGCAAGTTGTGAATGAAGTTTAACATGGGTTGATATCGTGCTAGATGTAAAGGTGGAAGATAAACGTGGACCTACATTTTTCACTTAGGGTTCCTCTGAAATCGCTATCAAAAAACTTCCGGTTCGGCTACTCTTTACTGTTTAGCATAACGAAGCATAAGTGGGATTGACGTAAGTTTCAACCTTATAAATGCGGAATTTTTGTTTCTTTTGAAGGCAAATCGAGAATTAGTGTCGTCCTTTTGGAAATCTCAAAATTTCGACGCTGCTGCCGCACTGAGAATCCTCGAGTATTCAAAATTGAGTTTGTACCCAAGCATAGCGTCGTATTCAGGTTCCGATTTGCAATGGATCTTCGTTGTATTTCTGTCATTTTGACCACACTATCTTGCATTAATTGTCTGAAACTTTTGATTATCTATCCGACCCCGTCCTACAGTCATCAGCGAGCGATCCTCGCCTTGTCAGAGAGACTTCTGAAAGATGGCCATGAGATATTTTCCATCAGCCCAAACGTTGTACCGGTAAGTAATTTTAGATTCACAATTGCCTTATGATTCAACTTTTTTTTCTATGATAAAATTTCGCTGCTTTTACGAACATGAATACGGTATTCCTGTTGCAATAAACGCTAAAAAACTTTACATCATCCTGGAAATTTTCGCCAAGACCAGACAATTTTTGTTGCTATAATTGAAATTGTCTTTGGCAAAGTAGGTCGGTCCCTTGATGTCACGATTATTTTACCATAGGATAACAAAAACCGATCGAGAAAACGGTTTCCTTCGTGGAAGCGAGCATCTAATTTTTCTCGAATCTAAAATAAATTATACTTTTAAAAGAGAAAAATTTGAAAATAGACAGAGTATCTATTATAACTACACTCAAAAATGGTATGACTCTGAGACCCATAAAAAATGGCTCGGAGATCCATAATTTCTAACCAAAGCGACTTACCGTCCACAGTATGGCTTTTTGACCCGTACTTGTGGTCGTGAACCTATAAACATAGCTCCACAAACTGTATTTTATGGCTCCATGATCCATAACTTGGCCGGTAAGTCACTCTTCCCCTACTTGTTTTGTGAGTGTATCTAGTTTAAAGTAGAATTCTAATCCATCCCACTCAGCTAATACATTAGGACGTAGATTGTCCATTGAGCTTATTCTTAGTTTGATGGATATGGTACTCGAAATGACTGCACTAAAGTGACAATGTCAAGTGATTTCATTTTATTATTTTCTCCGCCAATGGGACTAACTTCCCATTTTGCAATGCTTATTCAAAAAAGCTTGTGCTACCAATAAACATAAAGTGAATTTGCATGAATGGGGCGTGAGGGGTGCGGACTGGACTCCCACCCCCATGGATTATAATGTCATTCAAAATTGTGATGTCGGAGTCAATCGATGTCGATGTTGATTGATAAGGAAGGCATTGGGTTTTATCTTAACGTGACCTATACCTCAGAGGGGGATTAAGGAGGTTGGCAGCATTATTTCTCTCCATTTAACCCTGTGTTGAAGGATCGATTTTTATCGAAGCATCTGGCCTCTCTGAGAATCGAATGATTTCCATGAATTTAGATGGAGAGAAAACAATGTTGCCAACTTTCTGGATCCGCAAATAACTTAGCCGACAATGATTACATAGACGTATCTATGCTAAATGGAACCATGTGCAAGTGGAATGATGGGGTGTGCTTATTAGTTGAGGGTCATAAGAATTAATGGGAATTTAAAAGCGCCAGTGACGTCAGCGGCAACTTACGAGGGGGCACGACGGGGAGATCGGCGGTGGGACTCTTTAACTCATGAGCCGTGTCCACAGCGCTCTTGTCACATGCCCACGGCTCACGAGCCAGCACTCAGTTCCTTTTGATTTACTCGAAAATCCCGCTTTTCTATTTTCTCAAAAGGAACTATATCCTCTTTTACATTGTTTCTTATGTAGCTTTTACGAGCACATCCCATATTTCCACTTCCACATAATTCCTTTCAGCATAAGTACGTCCACATTTGAAACACCAGTATGTCATTCAGATCAAATTTTAATCATATTTGAATTTTTTTGGAACCCGCTATTTCTGGACAAGCAAGGTCTTGCTCTTGATTTGTATCCTATAATTCGTTGCTCCTCTGACGTAAGATTGAATCTTGATCTCCACGTGAGCCCTGCTTAACGTATAAATCCATGCTTTCTGAGGCTCATGTGAGAACAAAGATACGATCTTGCGTCAGAGGAGCGACGAATTGTGATATAACTGACTTTTGTACTGATTTTGATGTGAACATCGTCGATAAATAATATCTGTAAATGCTGTTGCAGGGAATGGCGAATAATAGCAACTACACCCACGTGGACTTATCGTTTTCATACGAATACTTTTCAGAAAAAAAAGGTGATGACACTGTAAACTTACAGCAGCGCATTTCTAGATGGGACCTTCCTAAAGTTATGGAAAACTTTGCGAAAGTGACTAAACGACAGTTTCTCAGTGAGCCAGTTAAGAATTTCGTAAGGTAGGAACGCACAATTATTTTATCTAAATGACTTTATAACCTCGAATGAAGAAATAAAGTGAGCGTCGAGAGTTCATTGCGTTAGAGACCTGAATAGCGAAAGTACTTAGACAAGTGAAACTCCGAAAATCCATCCGGCCTTCACTGATGACTTTGCGAATAGAGGTATGGCCCAAAAGTGAAACCTCTAGTGAATAGGGCTTGCCAATTTTCATCTTATACAATGATAAAAAATAAAGAAGGATATGCAAACACTGACGATTCTTGCAAGTCGGCAAAGTTGTTTTTACTCCATTTAAATGGATGTAAAAAAAATCGACATCAGACCACCTAAGATCGATACTTATAATGGATTTAAATGGAAAAGTTGGGTATATCTCGAAAGTGAGTGCCTTCACGCCGGCAGTGTGGAACAGGGTTTTTCTTTAGAATTTTTTATGTAAATCGCTACCTCTCGTCAATTTCTCCCATTCGATTCTCAGAACATCGGTATCCGTTTTTGATATAATGCAAGCGCGGAGAATGTGCTCGATCGCACAGTTTTGTAAAACGCGCCGGTCGGAGCACAGGTGTAATGCGGCATGCGGCAGGTGCAGAATAGGCAATTTGCTCATCAGAACTATGTGCGTAACTGTGTAGCGCTTGAAGTATCTCAAGGATGTCGAAGGCGCTATATCGGGTGCCCGCGGGCCAACTTGCAAGAGTCGCCACGGCATGAGTATTTCGACGTTGCCAAATTTCCTCTAATTAAATGTTAAATCCTTGTGGATTTTTTTCTGACTTTCTCAGGGAGTCTTATACGCAAGTTGATCAAAAATATTTAAAAATTTCAAGGAAAAACATAAAAAATGAATTGAAAGAAACTTAGCAAAATTCAAATTGTCGAGGAAAGCTCTTCCCTAATTTACGTCCTTAATTTTGGGTAAATAAATAAAGTTTACCAAAAAAATATTCATCCCGAACTCATCAAGAGGAAAAGTACATTTTTTGCATTTATGTTGCCAAAAGCAGTCAGCAATCGCGGGAAATTTGCAAAGCGGCATGCGTGTTGAATCGTCATTTATTTTCATTTATCATTTATTTGCATCGACAAATTAACGGTGTCTTCATATGTTTAAAAAAACTTCAAAAGCATGACTTCGGCTTCGAGCGCCTTCAAATCCCGGTCATACTTTCCGCTTTACTGGACAGTTAATTTAGTTGCCTATCCGAACCACACCCAACTAAGTCCACTCTTTCAATACACGCACTGGCAAAAGTGACTAGCTGGGATTACGCTTTTAAGAGGAGAAAAATAAGTCTGTTCAAATCCCAAGCATGACATCAGTAGCCTCTATCTTATTTTTTCTCCTTTAAGTTATTACATGCTTTTATTCTACACAATTACATTGCAAATTTCCAGCGATTGCTAGATATCTGCCAAATATCGACGGTGAAACTACAAGACCACGTGTCTCGTTTGCTGTGTTTAAAAATTTCCATTCCCATTTTATTATTTTGAAGGAGAACGAATAAATGACATTTTTTAAAATTGCCCAGAGTTTTCTTCCCACGGAAAAAAAACATGGAAGTATACAAGAATTGACGTTGAGTAGTTTTCCATTTAAAAAATAAAGAATGACAAGAAGTTTAAAACGGTGAAAATCGAGATACGTGGTGGTAGTTTCACTATCGCTATGCAGAAAGCGACGTTGGTGCCAAAAAGTGTAATATTTTAATATTCTTTAATTTTGGTTCTAGGCGAGTAGAGACTGAGCGCATTAAATTCGATCTCATAATCATAGAGACATTCTACGTCCCATACTCATCTTTACTAAAGCCTCTCATAGGATCCGTGCCAACTATCTCCATGGCAACGGTGACCCAAGACTTTTTAGGGGAGGATGCCTTGGGATCTATCACGCACTTTTCTTACTTGCCCGCTCTCTTCAATGGATACGGGCCGCAAATGACTTTGCTGGAGAAACTTGATAACTGGTTTTTCACGTACCACTTCGGATCGCAAGAACTGGAAGTCTTGGAGGCAGCTGCGAGAAGTTACTTCAACGAGGTTTTCGGGCCGGGGGGCGAGAAATTGGTGGACGGATGTTGGAGCAATGTTGAAATGCTTTTGCTAGCCTCAAACTCGCTTTATTACTATCCCAGAGCACTGACACCGAACATCGTCGAAATTGGGCCGCTGCATTTGAAAACCCCCGATAAATTACCCAAGGTGATGTTTATTTTGAAGACTTTTTTTTTCATATTTCTTTAAAAGCTGTCCATACATTGCAACAGAAAAAATAGCCAATAATTTTCTCTCTAAAATTTAAATGAGCGGTGAAGATTCTAAAATACCACAACTAAGAAATGCCCTTACTCTGCCCAACGCCTCAAAAATTTGCTGGCCAGAGCTAGAAAGTTAGAATATATTCAACATTACAATAAATTAAAAACACTACACCTACACTGTCAAAAGCAACCACTTATAAGACAGGCCGTAGAAATCCTGAATAAAAGTAAAATACAAAAAACTTTATCAACGATTGGCTACTCTGCCTAAAAAGTAAAGTCAGTCCAAAGAAGCAAGGGACTCATAGAATTTTAGAAACTAAAATAAAATAATACCTATGAAATATAGAAAACATAGTTTTAAGTGAAAAATAATCATCCTATACTAATGCTATGACGTTACATGTTAACTAATAGTAATTATTTGAATTATACATCCACTTGTAACTGTTGATAAATTCAAGCCACGCTCCCTTTCATGCAATAATTACACCTAAGAAATATCACGTGTGATAAATTTGTTGGTTTCCTAGAATCTGCAAGATTGGTTGGACGGAGCAGAGAAAGGGGTCATTTATTTCAGTCTTGGAAGTAACATGAAGAGTAAATCTCTTCCTGAAGACGTGCGAGAGAATTTCTTGAAATTTTTCAAGCAGCTGCCGCCGGGCTATCGAGTGCTGTGGAAATGGGAGTTGGACACTAAAATTCCTGGCCAGCCTGAAAATGTCCTTACCCAAAAATGGATGCCCCAAGATAGCGTGTTAAGTGAGTACCATAACGTCTTAACTAATTATTAAATGTGGAATTAAGTAATCACTGGACAAAAACAGACTGTTATATACTGCACTGCGTCGCTTCATGACTAGACTTTTGGCTGATTTTTGAAATTGATATACAAAGCAATGGACAAAGAAGTCAACGGGAAAATGGAGCGATTCTATTGGTTGAAACGGGTTGTTGCTATAGACTAAGAGGTGAAATAATTAGACTAACTATGGGCCCCTCGGGGTTGCTGCAGTTAGTTTATTACTTACCCCCTTTGTCCATTACATCCACCCGCTTCCATTATCAGAATCACTCCATTTTCCGAGTGTCTTATTTATCTATCGATTTACCTATGAATTTCAATAATCAGCTCGCCAGTGTCTCTGAGAGGAGATAATGATCATTGACTATTGCTGCCGCAGCAGGGCAAAATGTGCTTAAAGGGGGAACCAAAATTGTTCGGCGCGGCAAAAAATTCCGGTTCCTAGTGAAAAATAGATATTCCGTTTCTGACGCTGAACATGTTTTAACGCTCTTATAAACATTCGGTGAAAGTTTTAAGCCATGATTTGCGTTATTAATCACGCTATGAGCGCACAACTGAATCGTTCCTCAGACTGGCATAAGAGGCGTAGGTAAATCGTAATTTGCAAGTGGCTATGCGTGCATGTGAACTCGTCAAATCGCAATAGACGCTATCAGTGCCAAGTCACTGAAAAGCTGTATATACCGATTTATTCTCATTAGTAGCATTGAAATAAGTTGTGTTATTGTTTTTGTTTGGATCCAAATCGATATAATGGAGACTTCCTATGGTGACGTCACCATTAATAGCGTCTTCTTTGCAACGATGCAGCCTAGGTCTCATCGGTGAGGAACTTCACATGCACGATCTCAACTTGGAGCGCCTTCAAATTTTGACGATACTCTCTGCTTTGCCAAGCAGTTAGTTTAGTTGCCTACCCGAACCAAACGAAACTGAGGCCACTGATTTCACTACACGCACTCGTGAGTGTGCTAGCTGGTAACATGCATTTCAGAGGGAGAAAACGTCTGTTAGAATTTAAAAGTAGGAAGTTTCTTGCAAGTTCCTTTGCCTCTGAATTTTTAACCTGTTTTTATTCAACATGTATGAATTGCACTTTGTCGGAGATGGCGATGTATCCATAACATATTCAAACTCAACTAACTGCGAATATGTTTTTCTGCGGTTACTTAGTTCTCAACAATGATGAAATTTTAAAAAATGATGGAAATGTGCATGGCAATGGTGGCTTCAAACTAAGATTTCTCCGGTTACATTGATGGATTGCAATTTTCTGTTTTTTTTCGCTTAGCAATTAATTAGATTTGCGATACATGATGAATTTAGCAAGTATCTTTAATAAACATTATGATTGTATTTTTACATTTACAAGATGCATGTACAAGATCTTAGACATAGGAATTTTTCAAAATCAATTACAAAACTCAATAAGTTTAAATAAAAACTACTAATATTCTTATCATTATCACGCATTATTCCAATAACTTCAATTATCATTAACCCTTGCAAAACCCTTGCTTTTTGCGGAAGTTACAAATTTCGAAGGTTACAACTTTAAAAAATGGCAGCGTCACTTCCTTGTGTTGCCCACATGAACGTAGCCAGAATCAGGCCCACGATGACTCATAAAATCAGCTTAAAAAGTTCGATGATTACTTTTAAACTGTTTTGCATAGTTCCCTTTTAGACTTTACAAGAAATGTTTTCCTTCCGTAGATCATCCAAAAGTGAAGGTGTTCATAACTCAAGGAGGTCTGCAGAGCTTCCAAGAGGCGGTGCACTTTGGAGTTCCAACTGTTGGCATCCCCTGGTTCGGTGATCAGGAATGCAATGTCGCGAAAATGGTGGACGCTAAAATCGGGGTCCAAATACTCCCGCATGAACTCCATTCGTACGACAAAATCAAATCAGCGCTGGGGGCTGTTCTGTTCAATGAAAAGTAAGAAAACAATTTCACACACAGCCTTTTTGGGGAATTTGTTTTATTTCAACGGTATGAGTTCGCAACCACGTGTCTCAGTTTGGGACGTTGAAGACTTCCTGCCATACTCTATTTTTAAAAAGAGAAACTACTTAACGGCCATTCTCACAAACTGCCGTACCTAATTGTGTTTCTTTGTGCCAAGGAAATTCTATGAAAACTTCAAGGAATGATGTTGATTTGTTCTATAAAAAATAAAATAGGAGCGGAGATCTCCAAACACCGAAAACAAGATATGGGGTTGCGGACACAGGAATACCGTTGACTTGTAGAAACGTTACAATCTAATATCCATTCTTAATATTGAAAGCTCACCTTGAGCGTTTTTAATGTCCTGGGGAAAAAACAACGTTTCTCATGCAATGCGCTCATCATAGTGGAATCAAAATCCTACTAATTTTTTTCGACGCAGTTACTAAGTCACTTTTTGTCATGAAAAAAAGAAATCATTTCGGACCCAGTAATAACTTAGCATTGATATCGCGTTAGCCACAAACATACTTTTTAGGGTTGTGTTTCATAAATGCACGAGTATCTCGAAAAACTGTTTGCATCGGAGACACAAGACAGTTGTGATGCAAAAGAGGTATGAGACGCGAACGAACTCTCTCGCACTTCTCCGGCGCAAACCTGTTCTGCCGTGATTTTAAAAGTTTTTCGACCAGTTGCTGCATTTAGAATCACTTTTACAAAGTGAGACAAAATATTTTCTTTCAGAAATGCCGTGACTTCTTTTTTCTTCTTCCCATCTGCCTTTTGATGAAAGGTTAATGTAAGCACCGTTGGCATTAATATAAATTTAAATTTAAATTTTAGGTATCTAAAGAACATGAAACGACATTCGGCCATATCTCACGATTTCACAGCTCGAGGCATAGACCAAGCCGTGTTTTGGATTGCACACGTCGCTAGACATGGTGGAGCGTCTCATCTAAGGCCGGCAACTGCTGATACCACTCTCTTCCAATATTTTTGCCTGGATATTATTTCTGTGATCATAGTTTTTAGTTTATTTGTCTTAGGCATTGTTGCTTTTATCATAAGATCGTTAGTATCAGTATTTCTTCAAATGAAACCATCCAAAACCAAAACGCAGTGAATCTGAAATGTATGCGGGAAAACATTATATCACTCAAAAAAATAGACCAGCGTATCTCAATGACCGAATTTCTGATCAATCTACTCTTTTTTCCACCCTGTCATGGTCCTCGAGGAATTTAATCGCTATAAATCCAGTTGATTTTTATATTCATTGCTCTTATTATTTTATTTTTCCAATTTTAATTTTTAATTAAAATTACTTTTCACCAACGAGTTCTTTATTGAGGAAAATGAGAAAATTATTAAATATAGGTCATACAGGAGAATTATCTATTGAAATCATGCACTGTCTTAAAAACTTACCGCAATGAAGTGTCCGAAAATTACACATTGTGGTTTTTGCCATATTTTGAGAGTGCTGACTCCAAAAATACGAAAAAGCTGTACATCAGGTCCGTGTACTAGAACAAAACCAAATCGAATGAATGATAATCGTGTAAAGAATTGCTACTGATGAAGCGTCCACTATTTTCATTTTTACAAATCAGATGGCGGCTGATGTGAGGCGTTTTCTGACCTAAGAAAGAGGAGACAGAGTTGACACGAGGGGGATTGGGGTTATGCCAGTTGAATCGCCTTCAATTTTCGGCGTAGGCCAGAAGACTTACTCCGTACAGCAGTGGACAATTGGTCTTCTATGGAGAGATTCATTTTTTCTGTAATTCTGCCATACTAAGGAAAAACGCCGTATGAGCCCGCAGGCGTTGCCAAATTTCTTCTGGCAAATCACTAATTTTCAGGAACATCTTCAGACATTTTCCTGCCAATTTCTCAGATAATTTTGTCTGTATTTTGATGTAAAATATCTGAAAATTATGAGGGAATATACTTATAATTTTCCTCAGAAATGAACATTTTATCGAATAAAATTTGGCAACTCTCAAATATTCATACGGCATTTTTTCTCAGCAAGGCAGTATTGTTATCGTGTGATGTGTCATTTCATTATCTTGCTTGGCAGTGTTCCATAAGTTTTCAAATTCAGCTAAAGACAAAGACTAATAAAATAAAGCATTCATTCACCTGGACCAAACTTTCTGAAGTCAACGACCAACAGCCGTATATGCGGAATTTCACCAGTTTGTTTGATCTCATTATCATAAATTGAAAAAAAGGAGCGAATTTGAATTTCCGCGCTACCCATTGTTCATTGAAGTAAATTTTTGTGGATATGTCATCTGCCTATAAAGCTCAAAATGAGAGAAAATACATTTCAGTTTAAAGATGCTAATTTTAAAGGAATTATGATCCACAGACAAGCAGGGATTTAAAAATAAATCCCAGTCCTTAACAATTCATAACAGCCATTGTAACTTTAAAGAGATTTGAAATGGTAATAAAATATTTTTAGATAAAAATGTCCTGTATACTTTTTTATTTATTTGTTTATTTTGAATGCTGTTTTCTAAAATAAAGACGAATAATTGCAGGCGTATTTACGAAGATGGATCTTAAGTTAACTGCTTAATCAACACATGTTTGTAAGAACCTAAGATTGAATGAGCAGGGAAAAAGATATGTGAGGCATATGGTGACTGAAATGTGACCAACATTTCGAGCATTGTGGCACATAATCTTTCATTTTTGTCTATGATTATACATTTTATTCCATTTTTTTCTTTTTTCTGCGGGATAAAAATATTGGCTAGTTTTCCGTCGCAGGGGCATTGTGATGGATAAATTAAAATAATTCACATCGTCGTTGTAACATTTCCAAATTGTAGACCGAGTCCTGCTCTTTTCAAAGGAATTGAACGAAAATATCTTCTTAAAAGGAGTTCAAGGGAACGTTGGCACAATTTGGAGACAAGTGCAATTGCGAAGATGTCAACATTTTAAACAAACCTCTACAACTGCAATTTTTTCTCTAACTTTCCGCAAGGGAGAGGCCAGTTCCCTAAGGGCTGTTATTAGGCTTTTCTAATTCTACTTCTAATCTTTTTAAAAATATCCAAGATTATTTCAGAATTCATTATGAAAATTTCAAGAAAAGCTGTTGGTTTGTTTTCTTCCATGTAAACAAATAATTCATGGGTGGAGATTTGAAATATTCCACATTATGCCACAATTATTGGAAGTACGCGTTTTCGTCTTTCGCTTCAGACACATAGTAAAGTTGAAAGGGCCATAGCTAAAAAGGGCCTTTTTCTTTCGCAAAATTGCAATATGTCGCTTGAAATCGAAAACCCTCTCTCAGGAACGGTTGCAAAGTTTTTTTCGTTTTAAAAATAAAAAAATAATTTGTGAAATTTTTTTTTAGATCTGACGAACATTATCAATGATAAACATGGATTTACCTATGATTTGCTAAATAAATTTAATTAGGTGTAATTTCGCAGCGTTTCAATGCAAGTAAGCCTCTTCGGTTTTAATTTCTGAATTTCAGATTAAGCTAAATTTGTATCTGCCCCGTGTGGTCTGATTGTGGTACTGTTGTTGCAAACTCAGAGAACAATACCGAGGGAATGTACCGTCTTATTTCGAATTATAGAGGGAGGACCATATTTTTTTCCCACACTTCGAATCACAGAGAAAATTTTCGTCGCAATTTCGAATTATGGAGGGCCGCGACAGCTTAAAAATTTCGAAATAACGAGGGGAGAAAAATCCATTGAAATTCTTCGAATTATCGAGAGATTTTCAAGGGAAACAGACTTTTCTTCGAATTTACGAGGTTTTCGAATTATGGAGGTTCGAATTATCGAGAGTCCACTGTAAGAGGCAAATCATGTCCTCACGTATATATAGTATAAAATCAAAAACATGAACGTGCATCGCCTAACCCGCGGAGCGCTTCGGGGCTTAGACCGCGGTCAGTGGGTGTACTGTACCCCCTCATATGAATAAAAATTGACACAGAAAGATGCTCTCACCATTAGAGTAGTGGTTCCCAGTAAACAAAAAGAGCCACAATAATCGCATAGGTGAGCAAAACAGCTGTCATCATTTTCAGGTTTTGCACATTGACATCCTGCACGGTGAAAAAATATTACAACCACAATCAAAAGTCATGTTATACGTATACAAGAGCCGCTTTTGTAGCACTCTCCGTCGCTCTGCGACACCGAATCGCCAGGGTGCCCCCTCCTCTCACAGCCCTTCAGGGAGTTAGCACTCCTTAGATGTAAGAATACTTCTAACCACAACAAATTCTCGTCTTTGTTGTTGAGAGGAGAGTTCTGACATTAATACCGCAAATATTAACTTAAGAATTCAGTACCAATTGAACTTTCCCGAAACTGTGGCACTTTTAGACAAATTTGAGCAAGGCTCGAAGATTTAATCCAGAGGTGTCTCTCGACTTGCAACACTGTTGGAAATGGAAGCATACTTTATTGAAGATCCATCTGGAAAATTTATTGGACCACATTTTGCACTTAGGAACTATTTCTACTGGCTCATTTTACAAACAACATAAGTGCCATTGGTTCCCCCATTGATATATGCGCTTTTCTAGGTGTGCAAGAAACTATAATTCCCAATTGCAAAATTTAGTCCAATTATACGTGATACTCCACGAGGAAAGCGCCTTTTCCATGGGATGCGGTTTCATAGTGCTAACAAATATTGGATGACATGACATCGTGGAGGAGGATTAAAGTTGAGATGATATGCGTTTTAAAAGGAACCAGAAATCATACCTACCTGAACAAATGCCAGTCCTACAATAACATCGTAAGCGACAGTGACAGTTAAGATGATTGTAAGTAACGGCTCAATAGCGTTCTTCATGTTTGCAGCCAATCTAAAAAATCAGGCCGGAGAAACTCAAATACGGTATGTTGAAAACGCTCCTCACTGAGCGATTTTGTCAATCCGAACATTGAAACAAGTTATATCTAATGAAACATATCTGTCTACGCATGTGAATTTACTTGAGAGGAATCCTGAATGTACAGCAAAAAGGAGAAATAAATAAATGTTGAGCTTCACAGCACCGGTCCTCATCATCAAAATTTCAGGTATGCTTTGGTGGATACATATAAAATATCTGGCTCTATGCTGCCGTGGTAAGGAAAAACGCTGTATGAACATTTGACAGTTGCCACATTTCTCTCGATAAGATGTTTATTTTTGAGCAAAGTTATGAATATTTTTCCTTGAAATTTCTAGGAACTTTAGGTGAAATTAGGAACAGTATTAATTGAAAAATCGGAAGGACAATATTCATAAGTTTATACCAGCAAATTCTTGTTTTATCAAAGGAAATTTGGGAATGCCTGAAAGTTCATACGGCGTTCTACTCGAGCACGGAATTATGTCACTCTTAAAGATCAGCATTTTCTGGGCTCGTAGATTCGCATCTCCTTTTGACTAAAACACTAAAGTCTACTTGTATCGAATTGGTCCTTAAACTATTTACATCTTTTTGTCTATCTTATCAATCTCTTGATGCGTTGGATTTTCTTGGTGTGAAGGTAATTGTGTCATGGTGATGATGGTGTCATGATAGAGTGAGTGATAATTTGGTACACGGACTTTATGTCCACTTTTTTTACGTCCACAGACTTTTCGTCCACAATTTCTAAGTCCACAGTTCTAAAGCCCACACTATTGTTAAGTCCATTACTTGAACGTCCACTAAGTTAAGTCCACTAAAATCAAATTCAAGCGTCTTTTTTTAGTCCGTGTGTAAAATTATATTGACAATATCGAAATGAGAAAATTAAAAGAGAATGAGGTGTTGTTATCGTAACTCATATATTAAATGAAATGTTAATTTCTTCTTTTGATTCATCTTTTCAAATTGTCTTTGGTAAATACTTGGTTTCATTTCTATCCTTGTAATTTCCGATGTAAAATATGCCTTAAATGTACATTCTTTTTTTTAATGGCATTAATTACTTCATTTTAAAAACATTTACATTTTTAAAACGTGGTAAATATTTGTAAAACCTTTTCCAAGCAATGGCATTGATATGAATCGCAATGAGCCGTAGTTGTGATGAAAGAAACTATACAAAGGATAATAAAAGAGGAAAAAAACTAAGAAGCACGCAATTTTTGTTTGTAACTTATTTGTACATCGACCTCCTCGAGTCAAATATGTGCAATTTTGAGCGTTTAGTTGCGCTTACACCACGCTGCAGCACAGTAAAAGCCCAAAACATAAAAGAATAAATTTGAATGCTTTGGAAATCATTAAATTTGACACGGAACCACTATTATATTTACAAAAAACACATTGTATTTTCCAGTAGTACATATTTCTTTTCCATCAATTTAAAGGGGAATAATCATTGCAGTGAGTGCAAATATTTCAAAATCATGAGTTGAAAAACGTTGACTCTGCGAGTATAAATATTAGAGCCTAACACAGAGCGGAGCGGCGTGTTAGCAGCGCAGAACGCGCACTGGCGCCTACAAACCTAACGGGATACTTCACGCATTGTGCAACGCGTGAAGTATCCCGTTAGGTTTGTAGAGCGCCTGTGCGCGTGTCACGCTGATTGCCTGCCGCGCCGCAACGCTTTATAAGCAACTATTTCGCGTTAGAGGCGTTGCACAGTATCCTACAAGATTGAAGGCGCACGAAATAACTAGTTAAAGAGGACTTTCAATTTTGACTGCATCTGTTACTGAAAAATGTTTAATTTGGCATTGGAGCGTTTCCAAGGCTCTCGCTTTGGTTTTCATCTTATCATATCCGTACAGTGTACACATGAACATATGTTTTCATCTGCTCTTAGAGTCAATAGCCTGAGACGCTGAATGTCTTAAAATTATAATAACTAACTAACTGTTCTCTTTCATGACTTGATTCATTAATGAAATGTTTTTAAGAATGAAAGTAGTAGCGTTATGCATTTATTTTTGAGGTGGTCCCTGTCATATAAATGAGAGGAAAAGACATAACATGTCCACAATTTGGACAATTTTGGACACATTCATTGTTGGACATTAAATCATGTGGACTTAATAGAGACTGGAATTAACGTTTTGTGGACATAAATAGCGGTGGACATTCATTTAATGGACGAAAGGTAGGTGGACATAAAGTCCTGGAAGCGATAATTTTTCTCGGATTCCATTTTTTTTTTTTTTTTTTTTTTTTTTTTTTTTTTTTTTTTTTTTTTTTTTTTTGACGAATTTTGACTAGAGTTAACCTTGATTTTATTTTGGGGGGGAACTTTGATTTTAATGATTCTCCCTGGGCAAGATTGAGGATGGCGCATGAGGGATAACGATGATATATAACGAAGGATGCGACAAAATTGAAGATAATCGCTCAGATGTCAACTTAATTTTATAATATCGCGATTTTTCCGATGAAAAATGCTACCTGGGTCTAAATTTACCTTCAGTTTTGCTGCAGACTAAATATTCTCACCTAAACAAGCGTTGGTGAAGCTTAACAGCGTCCACAAATTGCTCCCAATCGGCAGATCTGCCATGACCGAGGGTCTCCAAGCAAAGCCCGCATACGCGAAAAGCTGTCTTGAGGGAATCCACGGTGACGATGAGAATGGCAGTTCCAGTATATAAGGTATAGAAGTGGAGCAAGTAAGAGGCAAAGTAACCGAAGTAAATGAGTACCCTGATGAGGTCATTCGAGGCGATTCCAAGGAGAGGGAAAGGGTCCGCCATCTCCACTGGTAGACGAAGCTGAGAGGGGTTGAAGAATGGTGCAGTTAAGGAGGGCAAAAAGTAGACCGAAACCGCTACGTGTGAGGCATACGCAAAGCAGAGGATGATTGACCGATGTCGGGACTCCAATTCTGTGATGACAGCAGCGCGCAAGGATCCTAGAAGCGGGAACTGGAAATGAATGTATAAATTGTATCAGTCTCACGTCACATGGGTTTTGAATATTCTGTAGGTAGAAATAATGTACATTCTATGGTTCATGGGCTCTAGACCTTTGGTTACAACTCGTAAAATTGGACCAGATATCTTTGAGCCAAAAAATTGAGACATTTGCTTTATTCATCAATTAGCGTAATCAACTATGGGCCAATTTTAAAATTAAATGAAAAAGAGTGGATGAATCGTCCTATAATCATTTAATATGCTATGCTGGGGTATCAAGATTGTCGGATTAAAATGCACATTTACGCCTTGTATTGTTGATATTAAAGAAATTAACCGCTAGACATTTATTATTTTGGACACTATGGAGAATACCTAGAGTGTTATTTCGGAGTTTATCTAATACTGCCTATCGAAACAACCAAATCGACATAGTGACTTTCTATCTCCGATACAATTCCCGTCCATTTCGTGGAAATGCCATGCACACTCCAAGTTCCAAATAAGAAGCTCTTTTTTCGATGCTGGTAGTGGATTGGAGTTCTTAAATAAAGCATTTTTATAAGTTTCGGGGAGTTAGCCCGGTGACTCAACCCCCAACCTGTCAGCGTTTTATTTTGGGGTACTCTCACCTAGACAGGCTGCTTCCTCTACAGCTAGAGCCCTGGTGCTGGACCCGCAGTGTGTCTATACTGAAAAATCTAATTTTCGACCCTTCTTATTATTTGTTATTTATTATTAATTATTATGTAATCAACATATTGAAAGAAAATAGCATTATATGTACAGTTGACATCGAAATGAAAAATAAAAAACGTGTATGTCTAATTTATCGAAAGGGACAATTTGAACGTACTCCAATCATATTTCTAGGGCACGCTAAAAGTCCTACCTGAGCGTAAAGCAAAATTTCGTTGACTTCCTGAAGAGTTTTCACTACATAGTCTATCTGACGCCACCAAATTGCAAATACTATGTAACCCCAAGGCAATACCAGCGCGTGAATCTTCCCGGCAAGGGTGGCAGGTGCCATAATGGAATGCGTGCTTGCCTTGGATCCAATCATAAATAGAATAGCCCCAGTTATTTGTAGGGTTTGATGAAGCACGATTAAAAACACCAACGGCCATTTCATTCGAGGTTTCTCGATAAAGAACAGTCTCTGTAGGATAAGTTTGGAATTCCGTGCCGTTCTCAGAATTAGTAACTCATGAGTAGCCATCACTATTGTGTCCCATCCGATATGATTTACTCCTCTGAAAAAATAGTGACATAACTTTAAAAATTGATAGTGAATTGGACGTATTTATACGAAAGGGAACTAAGCGCCAAATTTCCAAATTTCAGTTTTTAACGGATCTGGATTCTCCATGTAATAGGCTGCTCTCACACGTAAATATGCCCCCAAAATACTAATTTCATCCCCTGGAATCAGCCCCTGAAAAATCGCAAAACAGGGAATCAGCGATTACGAATAAAATCAAAAGGAACTATATGTAATTCCCTTTGATTTAATGCGCTAACCCGGATTCCGAATTAAATCAAAAGGCGCTATCTCCACTTGATTGACGCGCGCGCGGCGAAGCTTGATGGAAACTTGGTGAAATTTAGTACCGGGGGGTATTTTTGGACGGGAAACTCGAATTTCGGGTCAAATTTTGAAAATTCAGAAATCCAAGATGGCGGACATGGCCTAAAATGCTAT